TGTGTTAGTGATTTTCCTGACGCTCACTGCTCCTGAGGCCTGGTGCGGGGATCGATGTCATTTCCTCGGTCTCCTGTGCCACTCACCCCACTTACCCTCCACAGGATAAAGGAGTGCCGCCACACAGGTGGGACCTAAGGCTCTCCTGGCCAGAAGAATACGTACTTCCCGACACCATTTGAAGGGACATAGCGATCCTGTGGCCTTGTGTGAGGTGAGTGCTCAGAGCAGCGTAGCGTCGGGGCCCAGAGGAAATGTACCACCCGTGGGATTCTCTCCTCCGTCCACAGGCCTGACTCCCCAGGAGCAATAGAACCATGTGAAGCAGGAGGAGGCTCCAGGGTGGGTATCAGCATTTCTGTGACACCCCTGACTGCAGACGGATTTCTCTACAGAAATACAGAGCAGACCCCGAACGCACCAAGGCAGGGCCTCACCCTTGCAGCTCTTTTCAGAGAACAGAAGGAAATGCTCCAGGCTCAGGTGATTGCGTTTGTTTTAGCCTTTCTTGTCTTCATTCATGGATGTCTAGAGGCCTATAAAAACCACCTCTGTTAATCTGAAAAGTATGTGTGTGTGTGTGTGTGTGTGTATCTTTTGTCTTTCAAATATATGAATGTGGTGTTTCTAGTGTAACAAGAACAATTCTGCTTGGTCACATTATAGAAACTTCTGACTGGATGAAAGCATGGATGCCTGAATGCTCAATTTCAAAATATGGGATGGGGCAAAAGTAGATTTATAGTTGTGTATACCTGATACAGAGTTAATTCTGGTATTGTTTATTAATTATTGTCTTATTTCTGTAAACCTACTTTTGTCCCACCTTGCATTTTACTAGGCATGTGATCACTGAATTGTATACTAAATTAAAATCCCACTCGCTATATAGTTGCACCTTCTAAAGTGGAAATGAGCAGAAAAACTAACATTTCTTCCATATCATCTAAAGGACATCACGCCGTTACACAGCATGGAGTTGGTACAGGAACCCCTGACATTTCACGATGTGGCCGTGGACTTCACCTGGGAGGAGTGGCAGCTCCTGGACCCCGAGCAGAAGGACCTGTACACGGATGTGATGTTGGAGACCTACAGCCACCTGGTGTCAGTGGGTGAGGACAGCTCCCGTGTGTCAGTCAGATGGGCCTCAGTCAGTGGCCTTTTCATTCTCAGCTTCTGAAAGCTCTGGCATGTCTGGTCTTCTGAAGTGGTAGATGAATCTTAGTTTTCGCCCTGGCCCCAGAGAAGAATATTCTCCCTTCTCCTGAGAGAATACCTTTACTGTCTAAGTGTGAAAATTGTTTTGTCTTTATTATATTCTATGGTCTTCACAGACCCCAAGTCCTATTCAGTGTGTCTAAGGCTTCTATCATTCCCCATGAACAGGTTGTGAGGCCAGCAAACCAGACGTACTCTCCAAGTTGGATCACGGAGAAGCACCATGGACAGTGGCAGGTAAAATCCACTGTGGAACCCATTCAGGTGAGTGAGAACCAGCACAGGGGGGCTGTGGAAATCACATTCTAGTCGCTCAGAGAAGGGGCTCAGAGATGAAGGGATTTGAGGATAGGTGAGCAGTGCCTCAGTGTATGTCCTTCCCAGTGAGAGAGAGACCCCTTTCTGTTTGTAGGAGTTTAGAGAAAAATAGGTCCCTTACTCTCTTCTGGGATTTGATCCCTCTTCATCTGCACCAGGGGGCGGCGCGGAACAAAGGAATGCCCTGGCCAGCAGCTGGGGAAGAGGCCCCGGCCGGCAGCCAGAAGGCCCAAATCGGCCCTGATCGCCTGCCAGGTCTAGGGACCCTATATTTACAAATTTCATGCACCGGGCCTCTAGTTTTGATATAATTTATGTGGAAAGATCACTTTGGCTGCTGGATGGATAACAGACGGTCGATGGCAGGGGAGGAACAGGAGAAGCAGGCAGAAGGCTACTGCTGTAGTCCCTTGCTTCCATGTGTGGAAGGGGTGTTAGTCCAATTCTGGGCACATTCATAGGGAGGACAGGCAGTTTATCACAGAGGTGGATGCTGTGTGAGCTTGAGTACCAGATGAAGGTGATGCTGAGAAGTTTTGTTCCAGTTACAGGGAAGAGTGGAGTTCTCATTTACGTTAATGGAGATGAGATGTGGAGAAGGATTTGGGCTCTGTTCTGGAGGTTGTAAGTCACAGGTGCTAGGAGCTTTCTGTTGTGTTATCACCTTACTCCCGCCATGCCCACCTCACTAATGGACCCACAGCCAGTCCTGGCTTCTTCTAAAATGTAACTTGTTTTCCTCCTCCTCTCTCCATCTCCACTGTGCCTTCCCACCTGTTCTCACAACCTGTAGCTGTTTTTTGCACGTTTCTTTGCCCTTTAAGTGGCTTCACCAAACTGTAGTGTAGGCCCCTGTACATGAGGACTGTGTCTGTGTGTCCCCAGCCAAGGACCGTGTTGGTACACAGTAGTCAGCAGTGAGGAATGTGGAAGGAGTGAGTCTGTCCCTCTCCAATTTGGTTTCTGTGTGTCTGCTGATACCATAAATTGCTTATATTTTACAGTCTGCATGTTTATCATGACCTTAGGAAGTAGACAAATCTGTATTTCATCATGGTGAATTATGGAACCTATTTTTACACTCAACTTTAACCTTTTCTTTCTTTATATTACTGTGTTTTCTAAAGAACATTAAACATGGAATTTTGTAACAAAATATATTTTTATTGATTTCAGAGAGGAAAGCAGAGGGAGAGAGAGATATAAACATCAATGATGAGAGAGAATCACTGATCGGCTGCCTCCAAGACGCCACCTACTGGGGATTGAGCCCTTACTGGGAATCAAATCCTAACCTCCTGGTTCAAAGGTCGAAGCTCAACCACTGAGCCAAGCCAGCTGGGCTGAATGTATCAGGATAATTTTTCATTACCTTTCTTCCAATTCAAATGTTGGATGAGTTCATTGTTCTGTTCTTTCCTAGAAATCTGTAAACATGATCATCTGCCAGAACACTTACAAAATGAAAGCCTAGAACAATGGCATAAATTTAACACATGTGAAAATACTGTCCATCAGAGCATAAGCCATGCTCTGTTACCACAAAACCATTTGCTTAACGTACTTAAAAAAAGTATGAAATCAGATTTGTCTTTACTCAACCAGAGAAGAAACTATGAAATCACCTTACCTATTGAGCTTTCTGAAGTTGGAAAATCCTTTCTCCAAGCCAACAGTGAAAAGTTTCAGGCTGAAGTGAAATTTCAGGAAAGCCAAAAACTCATCAGCACTAAGTCCCAACTCATCAAACCTCAGAAAAGAGAGAAGGCTCACGTAATGGGTGACTGTGGGAAAGCCTTCAAAAAGAGGATTTGTCTCATTGATCATCACATCACTCATACAGGTGAGAAGCCACGTCAGTGTAGTGAATACGGGAAAGCGTTCACAATCTTCATGCTCACTGAACAGCAGAGAACACACACAAGAGAGAAACCCTTCTTCGTATGCAGTAACTGTGGAAAAGGCTTCCTCCAGAATCGCGACCTCATTGTACACAGGCGAATTCACAGAGGGCCAAAACCATGTATATGCAACGAATGTGGAAAAGGCTTCGTGAATAAGAGCAATCTCACTGTACACAGGCGAATTCACACCGGGGAGAAGCCTTATATATGCAACGAATGTGGAAAAGGCTTCATCCAGAAGGGCGATCTCATAGCACATCAGAGATTTCACACAGGAAAGACGCCCTTTGTGTGCAATGAGTGTGGAAAATTCTTTTCCCGGCCCTTTGGTCTCATTAAACATCAAAGAATTCACACTGGAGAGAGACCCTATTCCTGCGGCACGTGTGGGCAAGCTTTTGCCTACATGCCGACCCTTGTGAGACATGAGAAAAAACACCTAAGAAGAAAACATGGTAGTTCAGTCAAGGCGACATGTCCTGGCTCAGAGAGTCCCAGCTCATCACAGACCAGTGTTGTCCTGCAGGAGATAAACCTTATTAATACAGTGACTATGCAGGTACCTACTGTGGTCCCTCAGACAGTATTAAACATGAGTGGGCCTCTAGCAAACAGGAATGTAGTCATCGTGGCCCAGCCTGTGGCCAGAGGTGCGCCCTTGGGAGGACTTGCACAGGACAGCAACCTTCTGAATGCAGTGAATGTGGTCTCACCGTCAGTGATCAATTACGTGTTACTTTATGTCACAGGAAACAAATAGGAGACTTTCTGTGTGCAAAGATTTGATCAAAAAATTCCAGTTCAGATTATTGTTGACACTTGGAGTGCGGGTGAATTTCCCGTCAAAATATAAGATGGCTCTGTCTTTTGGTTTTGTTCCATCCACCAAAAGGGTGGATTACAAACAAATATTTGGTAATACGCAGTTACAATCGGCCCGAGTTTACACGTTTCCCGCACTCCACCGCAAATCTATATGAACCGAGTTAAAGACGGCTCCCGCGGAGTACGCGCAATTCACGCGAGCCGACTTAACTCGTTTCCCGCACTCCAAGTGTTGAAAAGTATATCCTGAGAGAAATTGTATAAATGCTGAAACTGGGAAGTTGTGAGAGTCTCATGCTGTTAAATATATGAATTGATACTCATGCTGAGGCCACAATTTCCCTTCTCAAATCTCACTCCATCCTTGTATCCTGAAGGAGTGGTCACCATGCCTTCTTCATAGGGCAGCTGATCCAGTCTCTTCCACGCCAAGTCTGGTCAAATGATTTGCAGAAAACACAAAGGTCCCTCTGCTGGCTGTCTTGCCCAGATGATGGTCTGCAGCTCCCAGATCTGCTCACTCATGAGAAGCAGCTTAAGCTGAGCCCCCATATGAAAGAAGAGTTGGCTGTCACTTAGGAGGGAGTCGAAGGTGGATGAGTCATAGTTGCCACTGTCAACATCTCAGGATCCAGGCTGGCACTAGCGCTGCCTCAGGCCTGAGGATGCCCCTCTGCCAGTATGTTGCTCTCCTGGTTGCTCCCACCTCCTTGGAACCTCTAGCCTTGGTTGCCCTCACACCCCCTGGTCTTCCATTGGTAACTAAATTTTGCATCTTTACAAAACAAATAAAAACTGTTTCAAGGGTGGCCTAAACCAACGGTTTTCAACTTTTCTGACCTGGTTTGCGGACCACCGGTTGCTGACCCTGCCTAAACCACATTGTAAGTGCTCAGTAGCCATATCTGTGTGACATAACAATGAACAAAACTTTGTAGCTAACAATATGGCTACTCAGAGAAATCTGCCCTAATTTGCATTATGCCAGAAAGTTATACTGGAGAGCACTGCTTGAACTGATTTTATATTTCCCAGCACAGAAAAGTAAAAACCAGTTGTATGTTGATTTGGAAAGTGACTGGTTGTGCTAAAATTACTAATCAGAGTTTTTTGTCACAGGAATGAACTATTGGAAGGCGATTGTAAAGAACTGTAAAAAAACAGTTGTCTCACCCAGGCTGGGTGGCTCAGTGGTTGAGCATCAACCTATGAACCAGGAGATCACAGTTTGATTCCTGGTTCAGGCTACAGGCTTGATCCCCAGTGGGGGCCATGCAGGAGGCAGCAGAGCATTGATGTTTCTGTGTGTATGATTCTCACTCATCATTGATGTTTCTCTCTCCCTATCCCTTCCTCTCTGAAATAAATAAAAATAAAGAACAGTTGTCTCCCTACAAATTATATCTTATCCTCAGGGAAAGGGAGAGAAGGATGGAAACATCACTGATGAGAGAGAATAATTGATCAGCTGCCCACTGCAGGCCTCTCACCTCAATCCAGGCATATGCCCTGACTGGGTTCATAGGGCTGTGCTCAACCACTAAGCCACATAGGCTGGCTGGGCAGTCACCCACAGTCATGTGTGATTAGAAACTTTATTGAATATAAACAGGGCAGAGCAGGAAAGAAAAGGGTGTTCAGAATAAATAGAGTAAAAAGGGTGACAGGAATCTTAGTCTCTAAGAATGGAGAATGTGAGAGATGGGGTGTGAGATCCTTAAGGGATGTTGTCAAGCAAAGCCTTTGCATTTGTCCACGGGACTATCAATCATTCTTAAGAGCTGCCACCATTTCAAAGCTTCCAGCTCCACTGTTTCCTGCTGAATTGAGACATGTGCTTTCTCTTCCTTTTTCCTCTCTCTTGGGAGAGGGACTCTGGTTCTCTCGCTCTCCAGGGTACTTTTCCTTGATCTCCTAACTGTCTCATACTTTTCCACCTATCCAAGTCATAAAGTCATAAACAGTTTGGCTTTTGGGGAAGAAATGGAAATTCACTCTGCCATGTGGTGGCTCTTTCAGGATTCAATCTCAAATGCTGGGTTTGGGGTAATTTACTCCTTCAGGTATATTTTTCAGGCACCAAACATTGTGCCAGGCACTGTATTACCCACTAAAGTGACATCAGTGAGCAAAGCAGGCAAAGGAACAGCTTTTATGGACCTTACAGTGGAGGGAGGGAGACAATAAATGGATTGTGCAGTCTCAGCAGGTGATAAATCCTATGAGGAAGAATATGCACAGTAATAGATAGTGATTTATAATAATGTATAGTTGTAATGGGTGGTGCGGAGAGGGGTATTCTTGCCCTGCCCTGTTAGGCTTTTCTGGATATATTTTGAACCACAACTGAGGGACTGAGGGGAGTCACCCATCATAATGTTTGTATCAAGAGAACATTCCAGGGCAGTTTTTTTCTTTAATACTTAATTTTTTTAAAGTTTCCAATTACAGTTGACATACAGCATTATATTAGTTTCAGGTGTACAACAGTGATTAGGCATGTGTATAACTTACAAAATGATCCCCAGTAAGGCCAGCACAGGGCTACTTCTAATGATTGACAGGCTTCCTGCCTCAGAAACTTAAATGAGTGCAAATTCCCCAGGCACATCTCACACCCCCTAAACCAGAAACTCCAGTACTGATCTGGGATCCAGGACTATTGATTTTTTTTTAAATATAAAAATTCTAATTAACTGGGGGGGAAAGCAAAAATTTAATAGAAGGATTTTTTAAAAAATATATTTTATTGTGTTTTTGCAGAGAGGAAGGGAGAGGGATAGAGAGTTAGAAACATCGATGAGAGAGAAACATTAATCAGCTGCCTCCTGCACACCCCCCACTGGGGATGTGCCTGCAACCAAGGTACATGCCCTTGACTGGAATTGAACCCGGGACCCTTCAGTCCGCAGGCCGACGCTCCATCCACTGAGCCAAACCAGTCAGGACAGGATTTTCTATATTCTTTTGTTAGGGAAGGCCTTTCTAAGTGTGACGCAAAACCAGAAATATTACACAAAATGTAACTTCTGTGTGGTAAAAGATGTTTTAATAGAAGTTAAAGGGAAATTGCATATGCTTATAGATGCAGTCAAAAAAGTTTTGAGAAATACACTCTAAAGTGTTAATTGCTAAATTTCCTAGAGGTTAGATAACAGGTAACCTTTCTCATGTACTGTTTAATTTTTTAGAAGCATGTATAACTTATAATCAGCAAAAATAAAGGTGTTTTTTTTTTCATTTTGGCAAGAATAATAGAGAAGGATAAATTGTATTCTATCTGTTTGACTAGACAAGAAGGGTTTTAAAAACATGGGAAAATTTTTTTTTGAGAAGTTTCAAATAAGTTTGGATACCTAAAAACATAACTTTTATTTGTACAGTGTATAGCAACTTAAGGCATAACTATGTAGTATTTATACTTTTAAATAAAACATAGAATTTTGAAAGTGTGAAATGATATTAAGTGTTATGAGTAAACATGTTTTCTTCTCTTTTTATTTTATTTTATTTTATTTTTTTATATTTTTAATTGATTTTTTACAGAGAGGAAGGGAGAGGGATAGAGAGTTAGAAACATCGATGAGAGAGAAACATCGATCAGCTGCCTCCTGCACATCTCCCCCTGGTGATGTGCCCGCAACCCAGGCACATGCCCTTGACCGGAACCGAACCCGGGACCTTTCAGTCCGCAGGCCGACGCTCTATCCACTGAGCCAAACCGATTTCGGCTCTCTCTTTTTTTTTTTTTTTAAAGTAATTACAAATCCCCTCGTCTGAATTTATTATGTATCTCTGAAGGCTTTAACTGAAGAAATAAATACATACTCTCACATCAGTGTTTCTCTTCGTCTTTCCCTCTCTCCAACACTCTCCCTAAGAAAAATAAACGGAAAAAATATCCCTTGGTTG